AAGAAGAAGTTATCGAAAACGATTGGTAGCTCAAATCTTGTTTTGATTTCAATTACCTTATTTTGTTTTTATTTCGGTCAGCTAATTACTTTAGCCTACTGAGCTTGTCCCTGCCAGAGTGAGTTTGTAGGTTTGAATGCCACCTTGATTCCTGCTTTGTTGAGAATCCTACTTAGGGTCTCAGATATCCCCTCCTTTTATGGAATAACTGTAGATGCCTTATATTCTGTCGTATTTATGTCATTATTATTACCTATAATGGAGCTAGGCTTGTATGGTTAGTGATATAAAGAAGTTGAATATGTATATATTTATATAACGCTTTGGCGTTTGAACTATAGGCTCTGGGTTCGAGCCTCGGTGGAAACATCATCAGTCACTGGGGAATGCAGGTATATCCAGATGACGAGTCCCAAGTAGGACAGTGAAATGCGCATCCTAGATTCCAATTCTAGTCACCATCCACAAATTAAATTCTATATATAAAAAGGCATTTTAGTGTGTTACGTGCTTGTCTGTCTGAGTCATTTCAGAAAACATGCTTTATCTTTAGCTACATCCTCATAGAGCTAAATTAAACTTCGGTATTCAGCGTGACCACAGTTTTCCTGTTGTTCTCAACCAATTCCTCTTATCAACAATAAACATGAAAATCACTGTCGTAGTCTGAGATTAGTTTGTTTTGTTGTATTGCGTTAATTTTGCGGGAAAAAGGTTTTCAAAATTTCACACGAAATAGTTTTTTAGTAGTATTCATTGTTACGTAGATCAATGACTCGTCCTACTGCAATAATGTTTGCTGTTCTACTTGCTTTTTAAAAGATCTACCCATGTAGGCATTTTGAAAATGCCGAAAAGTTGTTTCTTTCTTGAGGCATGACATGCAATAACAGTTGTATTCAACGTCAGATGTATGATATATATATATATATGTTTGTATATAGGTAAACATTTTACTGAAGTTTTGACATTCGAAGGTTAGTTACAGGAAGGAATACTTAGGTATCCAGTTGTCATGGTGTTTGCAATTGAATTCCTAGTTGAATGATAAGTTATTAGGCAGTACCCACAGAAAAGCGTCTTCTCACTGATATTTCAAAATGGTGCAAACACAATATATATATAATGCTAAATCTGACCTTTGGTTCATTTGTTAATTGAGTTGTTATGGATTACTGCATTAGGCATGAGAATATTTACTGATGCGTTAAAATTGTTGGACTATCTTGTCATATGACTGCTTGTGTGGGGTTTGTCTTCGGAGTAAGTAATAATAATAATAATAGTAATGACAAATCTGTGTGGAGGTCAACAGCACTCAGCATCAAAAATAAGATCCGGATTTTCAACTCCAATGTAACGTCAGTGCTACTATACGAAACACAGACTTGGCGAGTCATAAAGAGCATCTCAAACAAACTTCAAACCTTCATTAACAGCTGTCTCCGCTCAATACTCAAGATCAGATGGCCACAAAAGATCAGCAACAGGGATCTCTGGCAATGAGCGAACCAATCAGGAACCGATTGTGAAACAAATAGACGGGAAGAAATGGAGATGGATTGGCCATACGCTGAGGAAACCATCAAGTGAAATCACTAGACAAGCCCTCGAGTGGAACTCGAAAGGGAGGCGGCGAGTTGGTCGTCCAAGGGTGACTTGGAGGAGGTCATGCGAGGAGGAGATGAAAGCATGTGGACAGACCTAGAGCAGGGTGAAAAAGTTGTCAGAAAACCGAAGGCAATGGAGGTGCGCAGCTGAAGCCCTATGTTCCTCTAGGAACTAAAGGATACAATAATAATAAATAATGACAACAGCTTATTACGCACAATAATTTCACACAGTATGCACATCCAGGAGTTTTAATTAAAACAGCCATCTCCAGTGATTTTTGGTCTGAAGTTACTTTTTGGTCCCCTAGAATTGAGCAACAGTAGGTTAAAAACCAATGTTTAAAAACTTTACGTTAGTATATTTATCAAGCCATGGATATAAATGAATGATTATAAGAACAAGAACCAAAGAAAATAATATACAAATTTTCTCGGATGGAAAATCAGGCAGCCCAGAGATTCAAGCAGGCCATCAAAATGATTCGGTGTACTCGTCTTTCATGAAGGGGTCTAATTCAAATCCGTTGATAAATTATTTGAACTTATCACTTAGATAAAAGCATGACATACGTCATTGGTTCAGTGGGTGAATGTCAATAAACAGCACAATAGTTTTGGGTTCTATTCCAAACTGACACCCTCTGAAATCCCTCCAGATTTACTAGTCGGCAGCATGTATGAAAAGAGAAGAAATTGGGTGTGTTGCTAGCGATCTTACCTGGAAAAATTAACACCACAAGGACTGAAACCTTAGAGGTTGTAGTCTTATATTCTTCTGTGAACACATGACACCGCCATCCTCTCTTGTGCCCTTTTAATTCTGATTTTCAAAATATTTTGCTACTTGTCAGATAGTATTGAAATTGAAGTCTGTTTTTACTTTTATTCATCCGTAATCAGCTGAAAGACTCATGTTATTGCCTCAAGGCTAAGTGAGCCTTACATTGCTGAGTTAAGAGAATCTTGATTGCGATATTCATGTCATGAATAGCTGACTACATACTTGTCAAACACTTGGTACTATTAGTATTCAGTCTTAAGAAAGAGATGATGTCAAATTAGAACTATCTACACAATTTAGGTCCTGCGGGGAAAGGCTTATTTAAGGAATCCAGAGGAGACCTCATCAAACTCTGTTGCATATTTTTAATATATTTGTGATGTTATATTTACGTAGAATATGAAAACTTAATATGACAGGACAGTAACTACTGTCATGTGTCTAGTACTTTGGTTATGACGGACTGAATTCTATCAGTCAAGTTTGCAATGTGGCCACCATGTCACTAGGTGGCTTGCCATCACGGTACATTCAAGATTATTGTTATTAGATAGTTAGGGGCAGGTAATTTTGGACCTAGACGTATCTGCATTCCTGAAGGAACTCATTTCCCCTCTGAGATTTGAACCCCGTACCACCCAGTGTTGTAGTGAGAGACGTTGCCACTGATCTATCTGGGCTCTCAGTTGACCTTCTGTAGGACTGTATTAAATACTTTTGATTGGACACTAACTAGTGTTGAGAGATGGTGCATAGGATATATGGTGAGTAATCGGCTGTAACAAGATGTTAGCTGTTTGGTCAGTTGGCTTTATTTACACGGAAGTAATACAAAACGAATGTTGACTGAGTGACGTCTGGTTAAACTTTGTTTGCCAGATGGGTCAGTTGGCAACCTTATTATATCACCCTTAGGTCATTAACTGAGTGTGTTGGTGGCACAGCGATACAGTGTTTGCCGACCACGCATGTGGTCCAGGATCCCAGTCCTGGCCGACTCACTCCTTCACCTCACTAAGCCAGTATTAAGACTGCTATAGAGGGAAGGTTGGGCATGAGGCTAGCAACCCCATCCCGTAAAAATAAACACCACTGCTACCGAAACTTCAAGCCTCTAGCTTGAAGCAGCTCTATACTCAACTGGGAACGTACAGGAATAAAATAATTAACTGAAATCTTAAGTAATGAAAGATATCAAGACACTTATTTCTTCATTTAGTAAGTCATTTTATTTTGGGCTTTCAGATTGCTCTACATGAAATTCTGATCTGAGAAAGTATAATTCTAAGCATCAGGGCGATCGAATTGAATATTAAAGTTCTTTTGGCAGAAACACTCATTAGTAAGGACATTAATGTGATTGAAACGATTAAAGGTTTGTATGTACAGATTGTTATGGAAAACTGTTTTCCTAATAAGGCTTAGATTACTTTTTGTCAGCCAACAATCGGTTGGTGAATGTGATTTCAAGACTCCTCCACAGGACCTAGTTACATAGGCAGCACAAAATATTCACCTTCCTAAGAGTATTCAAGGATATGCATTTCGTCCTATTTGAGGTTTGGTAGTTCAATACAACTGTATTCTCAATGACTGACGATATTATCTCTGAAACTCAAACAGTTCACCCACCATTTCAAATTCAGGGATCGAGTTTCAGAGAGAATAGCACCACTTATTGGGCATTCAGGCACATCCAGTTGACAAATTCGAAATATGACGAAATTTGACATCTTGGTAGATTCTACTATCCATCCAGATGTCACATGTTAGGATGGATGTTCCACCTAGGACAATGTCGCGCTAAATCACAAATTAGTAGAAGATAGAATTCATGGGCCGGCCAATGAATCGCGTCCCAGTGGTTGAATAATATACGAGCTCGCCTTGTAACTGGAAGGTCCTGGTTTCGAGCCCCAGTGGGTGCGTACTGCCGATGATTTCCAAACTAGGATGAAACAGCTGTCCAGTTCACCCTTCCGCTTTTCAATGGTCCTCTAACTGATATATTTCCGTGATCAACTCGTAAAAATAACTTGACGTTAACTCTGAAACTTAATGGAATTATGGGTACTTAAGAGCTAACATGGGAACGGTCACCGGACGTTTCACTCCAAAGCAATCAGTCAACGGAAAAATACAAATTAACCTAAGTGAAAAAAAATCATCAAATAAAACACTTTCATTTGTCTTATTAATACTTATATAATTATACTACTTATATTTATTTCTTGTAATTATTATTCTCATTGGTTAAGGATTGTTATTAGAGTCACATATGATTGGTTTAAGCTTTTATCCAATAAAAATTCATCCATGTCAAGTTGATGACAGCTTATGCATCTTTTTTTCTCTCGGCTGGTTGACAGTTTAATTTAACCGCCTTTCCGCTAATGAATATTTCATACATATATATACATACTGAGTAGGAACAAATTACCACTGTGATCAGGAGATATACCTGTGTACATTCCTTTTTCATGTGCATTATTTTCGTTTGACACAGAGAAATGAAAACAATCAGAACTATGTTCGACATAATCAAAATCACCAGTACATATTATGACATCATGTTATATAAATAGTGATTCCTTTGCATTAAAGGTATGCTTAATATCTGTCTATCTGAATGGAGTTCATATCACATCAATTATCATATCCACTTAGTACTTATTGTATGCTGTATAAATCATCTGATTGAATCACGAACAATTCGTTATCAAATTGATGAAGAATTGAAAATCAATACACCAATTGGAAATTTACTGAGTAATATACAAAGTGGAGTACAAAATATACGTTTTATAAAAATATCTAGTACAGATGACTCTTCAGCGTTATTTTCTGTAGATCAGTATTCTGGTGATATAACAATTGATCATAGATTAGATAGAGAACATTTATGCAGCCAGAGTGATCGAATAAACAAACCTGACACTTATGAGAATTTAGTCACTGATTGGAAATCGAATGTGTTAACCACTCAAAGTACAAAATGTGAATTATATTTCAGCGTGAATTGTTTAAATGTAACACCGATTAAAAATCTTGGGAATCAAAATAAAGTAAAACGCCTGTAAGTAATAAGCTGGTAGCTATTTTCGACGTGGTTGTTGAACTCAGGGATATTAATGATAATGGATGTAAATTTATGCCATCAAGTGAACAGATTATTCGAATACGTGAAGATTCACCAATTCATGAAACACGACTAACACTGAATACTCCATATGATCCAGACGATGCAATCTTAGGAAATACTGTTAAATCTGATCTTGTATGGATCCGTGATCGTCCAGTAAATTGTATTCGTTCGACAATCGGGATATAAATGCAACATTCAAACTACACAGTCTTTCATCTTTATATAATGAGAATATCAAACTGGAGTTGGAGTTGGTTAGTGAGTTGGATTATGAAAGTCGACAAAATTACACATTTGAAATCGTTGCTGATGATGGATTTCCATCAGGTGGACATCAGTGTCATCTCAATGTCACTGTACTCGTCGAAGACTGTAATGATCATACGCCAGTGTTTGATCAGTCCACGTATGTCGCAAATGTTAGCGAAGACACAATCATTGGCCAGACTATTGTAAAGGTGACAGCGAATGATGCAGACGACGGGGAAAATCGGAGAGTTCTGTACAGCCTTGATTCATATACGGATAACACTGATGACAGCAATCTTTTCTATATTCATGAAGATACCGGTGAAATAAGGCTTCAACGACGTTTAAATCATCGCCTGAAGCCTCAACATATATTAAAAGTATTTGCTAAGAATCCTGGTCATACTCTATCTAGAAATATGAAGTCTCTACAAACGCTATCTAAGTCATCTACAGCTCAGGTTATTGTGAATGTGATTGACACAAATGACCACTTTCCACGGATTCGAATTTTGTCGCCTACAGGTTCTAAAACTCTAGAAATAATAGAAGAATCTCCGCCTGGTCAAGATATTGGCATTCTAGATGTTTCAGATGGTGATACAGGGAAAAATGCTGAAGTGAACTGTAACCTAACAAATCAAACAATTACAGGTGTTCTAAGTCTAATTCCAATGAATAGTGAAATCATAGGGAAGGAAGTGGCACTTTCTAATCGAAAGTACAAGATAACTCTTGAGAAACGTATAGACAGAGAGGAATACCCAGCATAGAAGTTACCATTTTATGTCGAGATTCTGGAATACCACGTTTAACAAGTACACTAACACAAAGCATAAAAATAATCGATGTAAATGACCACGATCCGATTAGTGAACAAAGTGTATACATGGTTGAAGTGACTGAAGATTCAGATCCTCAAAGAAGTAAGGATAACTTTGAGCTAATCACTATTCATGCCACAGATAAAGATGAAGGTCAAAATGCAAAGTTACACTTCGCTTTGGATGAAGAGACACCTGTCCATCTATTGAATGTTGTCACTGTGGACTCGAATTCAGGTGTATTGCGTACACTAGGCAATTTAGATCGTGAACAGTTGAATGCATTTACTGTGACAGTTGTTTGCGCTGATCACGGAGAAACACAAAGAATGACTAAAGTATTTATCAATGTACGCGTTCTAGACTACAATGATAATTCACCGACGTTTTCTCAACCGTATTTTGAATTTCTCTTGAAGGAAAATAATCCCGTTGGTCAGTTGATTGGTTATTTTGAAGTCACAGATAACGATATCGGCGAAAATGCTGAACTAGAAATCTATATTGAAGAAAATCTTGAACGATCACAGGTCCATCTGACCGCGTTGAACAATAATTTGAAGCTGTCAAATGATGTAAAACAGCTGAGATTTCATTCGGGTGGTTTATTCTCTTCATCGGGGATAAGACAAAGAAAGTACACGGATTATAGTTCCAAGTTTAAGCTAAGCTATCAGAAACGTCCCAAGACGAATATTTCTGCTTCAGTTAGTGGACCTACACTCTATGATATTCAATTGTATGCAGAGTCCATAATCGATCGTGAAAGTTTATTCCTAAGGGATGCTGCTGTCTTTCCTTCTGATCTGTTACGAAATTACGAATCTTTCGATTCTAGTACTACCACCACTACAACTGCACATAATAACAATAATTATAAGTATAGTGAACTATCAAAATTGTCAAGTCAAACAAATTATTCCACAGTAACACCAACTATTTTTTTATTAATACGCGCACAAGATAAAGGCATTCCAAAATTATCTGAACATGTGTCAATACGTGTACATATTTTAGATGACAATGATAATTCACCTCGTTTTTTATATCCTGATTCGTATAGTATAAATAAAACTAAAGTTATCTTATCTTATAAAGAACCAGTTGATTATGCTTTTACACAAGTAAGTCAAGTTCGTATTCTTTTGTTTTTAACAAATATTCAATTGTTCAATTTATTCCGTGTTGATTTATTTCTTAAGTTTGTAATGTGTTAAACTTGTTTTAAAGTTTTAAGTATCAAATAGGAAAGTGTTTTAGTTGTCGTTAGTACCGTATGTGTTTCACTAATATAGTGAAAACGAACCGCCAAAACAGGTTGAGACTGATCACTTTGTGGAATATTAGAAAGATCTAAAGGGCTTTATGTGGTTGTGTTCTCTGAGCTAGGTGACTTTTACGTGTAAGCTTTCCAGTATCCATCTCCTAGACAACTTCCACTGCGCTAAATTCAATATGAAGTCTGAAAATCTACTAATCAACTCCGCTGTTTGAAGACAAGAAGTGTACTCAGTATTCTTGTTCATTTAATAGCGTAGTTTTCATTCATGCCACCACTGGCATCCTAGATGAGCATTTCTTCTCTTTTTCGATACTTGTCACTTGAATTTTCTTGCATCTCATAGAGTGATAGTGTTCTCAAACGTTAAATCTGAAGCGATGTGTGCTAGGTTTTATTTTAAAAGTGTAAATCTTAACCTGCATAAATTTAAGGGATCATTATTTAATTTTTTATTTTTGATTATAGTTTGATTCCATATCGTATTTTTGGTACAGGTATGGAATTTTCAACATTTGTTATCAGTAGCCCAAATTTTACAGGGCAGCCAATTGATATCAGGTGTGCGTCGGCGTGGGCTCGAACCCCGGATCATGTGCATGTTGGTGAGAGTCCTAACCACTGTGCCACCGACGCACATTTCAGTCGTCTAAATTTAATGAGTAATATGCCTTCTTTTTAAAATTTTTCCATGTAAGTACTTGGCGGTTATTGAGAAGTTTTAATTAATTATTTATAAATGAAAGTCAAATACTTTTCCGTCGACCAAATATCAAGGGTTAGGAATTAACCCCAAATTATGACAATGTACTTACTAGGCAAAAGAAACAATTTTATCAGTAGTTTAAATCGGCCTAGTACTTGTTAGTAATAGGCTAATTAAACGATGATTAGTCAGCTCAAGAATAATAAAAGTCAGTGACTCATGCGAAAATAAAATGATGTGAAAAATTGATAAAGAAGAAGAAGAGGAATATTTAATTATGCACTTTGAAAAACTGAGTATTTTGTAGTTTTAATCCAATTTGGAATATCCGTTGACTGGTTATATCGACGTGCTTAACCTCAGATTGACATTGTTTACTCCTTGTGCAAATGCCTAAACGATATCTGATCATTTTCCTCTAAGTAGTGACTAGCATTAAAATCGTGAATGCACACTTTGTCCTGTTTCTGACTCATCATCTGGATGTACCTGATTTGACGATTGAATCTAGGGGTAATGGATTCCAGCCTCAGTGGAAAAGAAATCACTAACCTGAGAGTTCAGTTAATTCCAGTTGTGCATCCTTAATTCCAGTGCCAGTCACCACCAACCAATTTACTTCTTCAAATCTTTTCGTTTTAGCTGAAATTAGAAGGATACAAGCTCATCTGAATCAATAACTTTCAACCACTGGAACACTAATTTTAACTGTGCTCCACCTGTCCAGATTTCGGAAACTATTTCGGTATCATGAAATAGGCTTGGTAGCTGAAGAGAATATTCAAACTCCAGTAATTGTTGTATGAGATTTTTTGTTGCATTTAGGTAGTCAAACAATTTCACCGCTAATTCTTCAGTTTTGTAGTGGTTGTTCATCACCCCATTTCTTAGTACCCATAATCACATATGCGAATTACACACAAGTATACCAATATTGATAATATATTTCTAGGGTTTCGGTTTCACTGAATGAACTTAATTTTGAATTACGCAGGTGATTGTACAACCTAGAGTGATATTATTATTCCCTTGGTTTTCGACTGGTACATAGGGCTTCAGCAACACATATTCACTTTTTACTATCTTATGCCATCCTCTTCATTTGGGTCCACGATTGCCCATAATCTTTCATCTACTTTTCAACTCATATGATCTCCTGCATGGAACCCTCACATAGACGGACCACTCGCCGCTGTCCATTTGGATTCCACTCGAGCGATGGGCTTAACTGAGGGTGATATCATTCGATGAACTCCTCGACGTATGCTCAATCCATTTGCATTTTCTCCAGCATATTTGAACAAGATATATGGGCGAACAATATTGGTTTCATTTAGATCTTCAGGCTTTACTCTTATTTACATAGCTTTATATATAACAGTTTTAACCAATGATGGTAAGTTTGTGGATCGGAGAATAATAATTTGGTAAATGTTTTGAACGTTATTAATAACGATGACTATAGTGATAACAAAATAATGATAACTAGGTTTATGCGGATGGCAATAAGAATAACGAATGTAGTAATATGTGTATATGTAGACAATTCAATAAATAAATAAATTAGTTCAAATCTTAAAGTTACGTAATACTAAAGGTAGATGCAGTAGACAGATAATCAGAGTTCAAATAAATATCATAAAAATACGAAAGAGATGGAAAATAAGATAGGGTGGGAGGGTTTTGATTAGAATTTACCTAGGCCAAGGGACAGATAGCGCGTCGGTTGCACTACGGTAAAATGCTCGCCGACCGCGTATGTGGTCCTGGGTTCGACTCCCGGTCGACGCACTCCTTTACCTCTCTAAGCCAGTGGTGAGACTGGTAAAGATAGAAGGTTGGTCATGAAGCTAGCAACCTCATCCCATAAGAATAAACACCGCTGCCTATAGCCTGAAGCTCTATGCTCCAGTGGGAACGTAAAGAATTAAAAAAAAGGAATAGACAAATGTAGAACAAACTTCTTTTGTGTGCAAAGACTAAGACTGTTCTCTAGAATTCCCATAGCTTTGTCTATGTGTAAAAGGCGGATTCGAATCACGTGCAAAGGCTCGGTGAAATGCGATATATAACTTTGAAGGTAGTATTTCTATCCACTTGATGACTGCTACCAGTCAGATGAGCTAAAATAGAACTTATAGAATTTATTTGGCCTTTTTCAAACCATCAAGGAAGATGCTCATTAATGCGTTTGTTAAGCTGTCCTGAATATTTGCCGAGCGATTGGCTCCTGTTTGACTTGTTCCTACAGTTTCTTGGTACTAATTCTTTCTGACCTACAATTCGACCTTCATTTTGGTACAGCTATTGATAAACGTCGGCAGTAGCCTGTCGGAAGTGCCTTTTTGTGACACACAGGGCAACTTTCTGACCGGTATAGGAGAACTGACTGACTGACTTCACAATTGTATTGAAAATTCGAATCTTGTTCTTTATGTTATCTGAGGGCAGAAGACTTGCAAACTAGTTTCAAGTTGATAAAGGCGTATCCTGCTTCTCTGATTCTCACTGGCTTTAACATCTTCAGTCGGTCCGTCTGCAGTTGGAACGATGGTTTTTAGATAAGTGAAGGCAGGAAGTAACCTCTGTCGAATCTCTTTATCCCGTTGATGGTGACTGATGCTGGTCGTTGTGGTTGTTGGTTGGTTGGCCGCTTATCTTCATCACTCTGTTTTCTCTATGTTTACCTGGAAACCTGTTTTCACTACCTGCCTCTTCAGCCGGTTTGTTGGTTTTCTCCTGCCTGCAATTCCTCGAGTTTATGTGTCATGAGACATAAATAATCCATGCACGAAATGCAGATTTTCTAGAGTCTTCGTATCCGTAGCCCAAAGTATCACTGTCTTCTTACTCCCTGTGCCAAGGTCTGACGAATAATACATTCCATCACAATTAAGAGTACCATCGGTGATGATAGGCAACCTTGTTTTAACACTGTATGCACTTCATATAATTCGGTGAGTTTTCTATTGTGGATCACCTAACATGTGGCATTAACTCGCTAGAGTGGCATATGTATTCGTTATTCAGTATAAGTTTGGAAAAGTAAATAATAGGTAGCCCTGGTATATGTATGACATTGTGTTTATAGGCGATTAACTGATTATAAACTATGCAGTTACTTAATTAGTTATGGTAATCATTGAAATCCAGTATGCACACTGTTTGCTTCTTTTAATAGTATTGAAAGTCATACAACTACACTTTAATACCTGAACTACTGATGTTGCCTTAGTAATATATTTATAATACTTGGAAAGATTCCGCCGAAAGCGGCAAGAACATTAAAGTCAACCGAATTTAATGTTACTTTAAGGAGTTAGTGTTACTCAGCTTTCATATAATAATTATTTTTACTCTGATTATCAGTAAACAAATACTTTTGTATTGCTGTGCTGTTTTAGTTGAAGGGTCTTAAACGTCCGCATGAGCTGTGTGATTCTTCTGTATTATTTTTTCACCAAAAACTCTAGAAAATTGACTGTGTAAAGTAAATAAGTAATGCACTGATAATTTTTGACAACATGGTGGTAAGACAACAATTATTTCAAACTTGTGATGTTTAAAATGCTTATATTAAAATGTCAAATGTCATTTGAATTGGTTTAGACAAGAGAGTGGCATGGGAAGCAACGTACAAAATCTGGACACAGTGCCACTGATATAACATTTGCATTGTCCAGAATAAGTTTAGATGTAAGTAGGATAATTGAGTTACTAAATATATATATATATCGCGTGTTGGCTTCCAGGGATTTGATTGGTTACAGGATTGATCACAAGCTGACTAAGTCAGGCAGGAAGATAGCTTCTCGCCCGTGACAAATTGGAAGAAGTTAGAATTCACGGCCCATTTGGTTTGGTCCTGATGGAAGAATGGTCTACCAGCTCGCCTCATAATCGGAAGGTCCTGGCTTCGAATATCAGTGGATACGTATGGCTGAAGAGTATCAATCTGGGATGAAACAGTTGTCCAGTACTCACAGGTTTGCACTGTGAAGGCTGGCCACCTACCTCGGCGACCACATTGCAAACCTGACTGATGGAATTCAATCTACACCAAATAAAAGTTTGGACGCATTACACTAGGTACTATCTAGTGTTCAAGCAAAGCACCCAATACTATTGTACAGTAGGCC